AATATTTTCCCTATCCTCACTCCATTTCTTCTCAGTGAAAGGTTCTTAGGCTCTCTTTATTTATGAATTAGGTTAGAGACAGAGTATTTGTCAAATAGAATGTGTCACTTGTTATACCATTACCCTTGCTATTAATGGTAGTTAAAGAAAACAGTAGGCTTATTTATACAGAAAACTGACAGAATTTAAGATGTAGAAAATTAAGCTAAAAGTCCAAGACAAGACATTAGTAATAGATATTATTACACAGAAAGAGCATAACTCCGTAGGCAGAATTAGTAACAGTAGGAAAATATACACAACAGAGTAGTATAGAATTAAGGCTGTTTAAAATGCAAAATACCATGAGGTCTAAGCAGAAGACTAATTCAATGACACTTTTTAAAATTTTTTTTTATTTTTTATTCATTTATTCACATGTACACACATTGTTTGGGTCATTTCTCCCCCCTGTTCCCCGCCCCTTCATTCTCTCCCCCACCCCCCTCGCTTCCAGGCAGAACCTGTTCTGCCCTTATCTCTAATTTTGTTGAAGAGAAGACATAAGCATAATAAGAAAGACAAAGTGCTTTTGCTAGCTGAGTTAAGGATAGCTATACAGAGAGATTCCTAGCATTGCTTCCATGTACAAATGTGTTACGCCCCGAGTTGATTCATCTCTAACTGATCTTTGCACTGGTTCCTGATCCCCTTCTACTGTTGACCTCTGTTGCTTTAAGGCTTCTGTATTAGTTCCTCTGGAGTGGGGACATCAAATGCATTCATGTTTTGGGTTTTCTACCTATCCCATACCTCCCATATATGTTCTCCCCTTGTCATGTGACCCAAGTCAAACCACATTGCTGCATTTGCCCTAGATCTAAAGTCCGCATATGAGGGAGAACATACGATTTTTGGTCTTCTGAGCCTGGCTAACCTCATTCAGAATGATGTTCTCCAGTTCCATCATTGACTTTCGAATGATAAGATTTCATTCTTCTTCATGGCTGAGTAAAATTCCATTGTGTATAAATACCACATTTTCTTAATCCATTCTTCAGTAGTGGGGCATCTTGGCTGTTTCCATAACTTGGCTATTGTGAATAGTGCTAAAATAAACATGGGTGTGCAGGTGCCTCTGGAGTAACCTGTGTCACATTTTTTGGGTATATCCCCAGGAGTAGGATTGCTGGATCATATGGCAGGTCTAGGTTTAGATTTTTAAGAAGCCTCCAAAGTTTTTTCCAGAGTGGTTGCACTAGCTTGCATTCCTACCAGCAGTGTACAAGGGTTCCTTTTTCCCCACATCCTCACCAATACTTGTTGTTGGTAATGTTTTTGATGATGGCTATTCTAACAGGGGTGAGGTGGAATATTAGTGTGCATTTCCTTTATGACTAAAGATGGTGAGCATTTTTCATGTGGTTTTTTGGCCATTTTAATTTATTCTTTTGAGAAAGTTCTGTTTAGTTCAGTTGCCCATTTCTTTATTGATTCATTCATTTTGGGAGAGTTTAGTTTTTTAAGTTCCCTGTATATTCAGGTTATCAGTCCTTTGTCTGATGTATAGCTGGCAAATATTTTCTCCCACTTTGTGGTTGGTCTCTTCAGTTTAGAGACCATTTCTTTTGTTGTACAGAAACTTTTTAATTTTATGAAGTCCCATTTGTCCATTCTTTCTCTTAGTTGCTGGGCTGCTGGGGTTCTATTGAGGAAGTCCTTGCCTATACCTATTAGTTCCAGAGTGTTTCCTGCTCCTTCCTGTACTAACTTCAGAGTTTTGGGTCCGATATTAAGGTCCTTGATCCATTTTGAGTTGAGTACAGGGTGATAGACATGGATCTACTTTCAGTTTCTTGCAGATGGATAACCACTTTTCCCAGCAACATTTGTTGAAAAGGCTGGACAATGACACTTTTTTTATTAAGAAATTCTAGTTTATACAATTCATCTTAACTCTGAGCCTTGAACTTGGGTCTTCAAGAGAGTAACAGGAGTTCTTTTTTTCAAAAGAACTCAAATTAATTTGAATTAAAAAGAATTTAATTAATTTTTAAATTAGAAAGAAGGGAAAATCACACAGTGGTCCTTTCTCTGGGAGAGGAAGAAGAGAAATAGCAAAAACTCACAATAAGCAAGCAGATGGAAGCAGTTTCTAAAAACACAAAGCTGCCCAAATCCCTCCCTCACTCTGCCTGACATTAAGTCAGATAGAGGATAAGTGGCTGGGCGCTGGAACTCAGGTGGGGACCTTGACCCTATAGAGTTCAAAGTATAGCTAAGTCTTAGCCTACAAAAGTCATGCCTAGAATGAAGGCATGATATATAACAAAAATAGGGGTTCTACTTCTGGCTGAGCCCTGGTCGACCATATTGCTTTGAACCACCCTTCCACTGGGAACAGCTAGAAAAGATGAGCAAAATATTAGAAACTTCTCCTTGAAGAAATTAGAGATCAGCTGAATCATGAGAAATGTGTGAGCTGGGAGCCAGATCCGGGAGCAGAAGGATCTGGGAGATAAGATACTCATTTGGTATATTTTCTCTTGGAGACAATTGCCGGAAAGCTACAGCTGGCAGCCAGATAGCTACACAGAACTTCTGGTTAGTGGGACAAAATTTGGAGTTCAGAAACCAACAAGGGAGGGAGACTTTGGGAAACACGGCCTTTCATTGGGATCCCAAAGAACTCACACTAGTCACAAAGAAATAGCAGAAGCAGAAATCCAGCTCTCACATCACTGATTTAATTCTGGTAATGTGGGATTATCAGTGCCTCCTGATGAGGCACCTTCCAGGCGCAAAGGGAGCGCTCTCAGGAGGATGATGGTTTTGTCTGACTGTAGTTTTTCAGGTAGAATGCACATCACTCAACAGAAAGTATAGTCAAGAAGATATGAACAATAAACAAGCAAAAACAGACAAAAGAAAAAGACCCAAGATAATAGGATTATCAGTCTCAGACTTCAAAATAATATTTTCAGAGATTAAAAAAACAAAATTAAGAATTTTGACAAACTGTACACTTTAAACAAAAAAAAAACCACACACACACATTTTCCACTTAGTAAGCTGAAAGATTGTCAGCAGAAAATATTCACTATAAAATCTGATGAAACAAATGAACAAACACACACACACACACACACACACAAAAGGCTGAGACATGTAGGAGAAAATTGAAAATGTCTAAAATACCAATAATTAAAGATCCAGAAAGAGAAGAAAGTAAAAATAAACAATGTATGAAAAGATGAGCAAAATTGACATAAATCATTAAACTGCAGATTGAAAAGCACTTCATACAAATAACATACAGAACAAATACATAGATAACTATTAATAATATCATTGTACAATTTCTGAAAACTGAAGAGAAGAATATTTTTTTGAAGAACCGAGGGAGTTGGCAGGGGGAGGAAAACATGTTTTCAAATGAGCAATAAAAATATAGGACATTAGACAATGGAATAATATTTTCCACATGCTGAAAGAAAATAATCACCAACACTGAATTCTACACATACAAAACAAATCTACCATTTTTCAATTCAATGAGTAAAACATTTTTAGACAAACAGAAACCAAAATAATTCATCACCACCAGGCCTTCCTGAAAGGAATACTACAGGATATTCTTCAGGCAGAAGGAAAATGATTCCAATTACAAGATAGGACATGCAGAATAAAATGGAGAACAAAAAGGATAAGATTTCAATACTGGCTCATAAAACAATAATGATAACTTGTGGTTTCAAAACATAGAGAGAACTAAAAGACATGGTAACAATAGTAACAAGCTGAAAAGAGAGGGAAATAAGAATAGTTAGCATGCTCTAAGGTTCTTACATAAATCAGGAAATGATAAAAGTGTTAATTAATTAGGTAAAGAATTCAATAAGTCAGGGGAATATTTTATGATGCCTGATATAACCACTAAAAGAATAACTAAGGAATGCATAATTAACAAATAGATCTTTTATGATAAATAGAACCTCAGTTCAAAAGTCCAAAATTTGGCAAGAAAAAATACTTAGAAAATAATTACATAGTGGGAAGAATAATTTTGGGGCTACAGAGTTGAGCTGTTGATTAAGTGGAATCATAGTTAGAGGCAAAGTGGGTCAGGATCTGGGAAGAAGGATCCGGGTAAAAGTGGAAAACAGTGTTGGGAATCACAGGCTGCATTTCTAAAATGTTTGTGTAGTAAGTTGAATTAAAGTGAACCAGGATAACTTTAAGGGCCCAAGAGAGCAGACAAAACAGGGAATGGGAATTCTTCCACTCGTGCTAATCAATAGCTCCCAGCTTATGACGCAGCAGGACATATTTCTATATTAGTTACAAAGTTTTCACATGAACTGTACCACCTGTACATCACAACTCTGTGATAATTATAATCCCCATTTTACGTATGAAGAAATAGAAACCTGGAAAGATTAAGTAACAACCCTAAAATCACACAGTAAGGGCCAAACTAAAAACTAAAACTTCCAATTCCCCATCCACTACTCTTTCACCATGTGACCCCTTAAGCTAAAGTCACAAAGAATTTGCAACCTGCCAATCTCACCATGTATCTTTTACCTCTCAGTTTTTGCAGTGTTTATTTCCCATCCTGAAGACTTGATGGCCTATCCAGCCCTACCAAAGTGTCAGGAAAATTCACTGAGCTACTATACAGAAAGCCCTAGCATGCAGTAGAAATCCTCTAAGGTGTGTCAAACTCATAGTTGATAAACTCTCAGAGCAGTGACTTAAAGGACAGACAGGAATGAGTAACTATAGGTGACAGCAAAACAGATAGGATGCAGGTCCAATCTTCCAGGGGCTCCCAGCCTGAAAGAGGGATGTGGAAGAACATAAACAAATGCACTAGAAAGAGAACAAGTACTGAGGAAAAAGCACAAGGTACAGGGGAGATCATACCTGGGCCTCTCTCTGGGTAGAAAGGGGACATAAAGCACCAGGGAAGTGAGGATGGGGTGCCCACAATTGGAATGTGCAACCAGAGCTGTTACCTTTCTTGTGAATACGACCACCCCGATGACTGTTATGCAAATGACCCCCAGGACTATGGCCACTGCTCCAAGCAATGGAATCGGGATCCAGGTGCTGTGCTCAGCCACTAGAGAGAAGACAAAGTAGAGATGAGTGACAGAGGCCAGAAGCAAAGCTGCCTTCCCCAGGGAAGCCTTGGCTTCACAGCCTGCCCTTTCTCTGACTCTAAGAATAGAGTCTTTAAGCCCGACTCTTTGTACAATGAGCATCCACCTAGCTTAGCATAAAATCAGTGACTACTATAATCCTAGCTGTTCAGGAGGGTGACTGAGGTTGGGAGGATTGAAGGTCAAAGCAGTCAGGGCAAAAAGTTCACAAGACCCCCATCTTAGCCACTGGCTAGGCTTGGTGGCACACCCCTGTCATCACAGCTATGTAGGGAAGCATAAATAGAAACATCATGGTCCAGGCCAGCCCGAGACCTGATCTCAAAAATGACCAAAGCAAAAAAGGGATGGGGGCACGGCTCAAGTGGTGGGAGCACCAGCCTAGCAAGCATGAGACCCTGAGTTCAACCCCAGTACTGTCAATAAATAAGTAAATAAATAAATACGAATTAATGACTAATCTCCCAAGTAGTGGTAAACCTCATGTATTTTAGCCAAACCAGATAATTTTAGCACTCTTTCTGTATTCAACAAAATCATTTTTAGTAATCATGAAATGAAACAAGTAATAACATCTAGAAGAAAACCCAAAAAGTAAACATTTTCCTTCATCATGCCATATATACCAGCAAAAGCAGCTTAATTATAAATTAAAATAAACATTATAGTACAAAAAGAAAAAGCATATAACTATTCACCTTAATGTCCCCCCCACATTCTTTTTGGCAGTACTGGGGTTTGAACTCAGGGTCTCACACTTGCCAGACATTGCTCTATCAGTTGAGCCATTTTCCAGCCCGTTATTTTGTATTGGGTATTTTCAAGATAAGGTCTCAGGGGCTATTTGGCTGGGCTGGCCTTGAACCTCAATCTCCTGATCTGTGCCTCTTGAGTAGCTAGGATTGCAGGCCTGAACCATTGGTGCCTGGCTCACCTTAACCCTTTAACACTTATTTCCAGTTAGGCTGTGAAGCCCTGGAGGGAGTGAGGCGAGGAGACTTATCTTTTGCTATTTTCCCATCTTCTGACATTTTTGTGGCTTGAGCAAGTGAACTGCTTTAAGACATAAAATGTGACTGGAAGAAGAGGCAGAAGGGAGCTTGGGCAGGACCCAGGATTCAGGGAATTCTTGAAAGGAGAAGGGTGTAGTTCAGGCTTGGCCTTGCTTCTCTAGAATGAAGGGCTTAGACTATGGGCAAGACAGCTAAGGCATCTGATTCCTTAGGGCAAAGATGATGCCTGCAGTATCCAATGTCCCCACAACTTGCTTCTCCCACTCTGAGGCGTCAGTCACTGTCGGCCAGGATGCCCACTGGTTTGCCACAGCTATCACATTTGCTCAGGAGCAGAGCACAGATGGCCACAGAGACCACATTACAGGGGCCAGAGGCACTTCAGGAGTCTGTCCACAGAACCAGAGAGGATGTGTGGTGAGAGCAGGAGGGCTGAGGGCTCGTACAGCTTGAAGATAGATGAAGGGGGTGAAAACCAAGATCCAATTTGAGGGAAGGTTATGACAATGGTTAGGCTTGAGGGTAAGGTAAATACACAATTAGAACCATAGAAGTATTTAGGTATTAAGACTATCAACTTCATTAGGAAATTTTGGGTTGAAGGGAAAGCACCAATTCCTCTATTCATAAGCACAATAATAGAACAAGGACTTCAAGATCTTTGACATCAAAGCAGCCATAGGGCAAGCAGGACAGCATGACAATATGCACCTGGGGGAGAGGTGGACTCCACACAAGGAACACTGTTAGCTTTAGGGTTGAGTTCAATGTTAACATTAATGTTAGAAAAATAGCATTCAGTGATACAGTTAGGAAGACCTTGAACTAAAGTTTGAGATTAGGGTCAGAAAGAAGTCAGGATTGGAGTTTATGCAAATAATTAAAAGGGAGTTTGTCCTTCAGGTCAGCATCTAGTTCCTTGAGAAACAGGAGGGACCAGTGGTGTTTCCAGAGTCCACAATGGCAAAAGGGAGAGAAACAGAGTTTAGGCAGAGGCTGAATAAGGATGCAACAGAACATCTTCTGAGCTCTCCCCGAGTGATCCATGAGACACAGGAAGGCCCATGGTGCTGTCATGTCCCGATTTACATAAGGGGAAAGCTGTGCCACTGGAGGCAGGGAGGAGTATGGGTCAGGAGAATTGATCCTTAAATGCTTTGGCCTAGACATGCAAACATGCAAAGCTCCTCTCTCTCCATCCTAGGGTCTCATCCCATGAGTGGGTTCTTCTGCCTGAAGTCCCTCCCTATCCCCAGTTCTGCACTGTAGTGACCGGCTCTAGGATATACGACACCGGTGTAAAGAGCCTAGAATGGTCAAGACCATCCTGTGGTTACACTTGCTGGAATCCAGGTCCCCGCCCCTGTCTATTGTTCAGACTTCCTATCACAATGAGGCAATAAATAGTATAATCACTGGTATTTATTAAATTAAGCTTATTATGTTCCTGCCATTGTTCTGAGACCTTCTTGGAAAAACTCATGAGATTACCTTTCATACTTTATAGATAAGACAACCAGGAGAAAATTAAATAATTGACTCAAATTGCCCAAGACCCTTAACAATATTCAGCCCCAGGAGGTGTGGCTCTTGCTGCTTATTGCATTTGGCCCACGTTGGAGCCAGCCAAGAAGTAACATTTGAAAGGAGACTTTAAGGTACGTTTTTATCTTCTTGATAGATACATATTCTCAAAACTCATAAAACTTAAACTCCAACACAATTAAAGGGAGGAAGTCAAAATTTGGAGTATGGACTTGTGTTGAACTTACCAGCCTGAGCAACTCCAAACCTGAGCTTCTGCCTCCATCTAACATTCAGATGGGAATTCCACATTTGTGGTCAACACACGGTGCTTCCAAGTTTCAGGCACTGTTCTAAGGACATTTTCTTGTTGTGTCAACACTACATCAGTACCTCCAAAGGTCTTATATCTGACCTCACTGCACAGATGAGAAAAGGACCCCAGAGGAGCTAAGTAATCTGTAGTCAACAGCAGAGCAGGGCTTGAACCCATGCTGTCTGTGTCAGAGTTTGAGCTCTTAACCACTCTGCTCTACCATCTCTCTGATGTGATAATAATCCTTTCCCAGCTCCTAGAGAATTGGTTTAACTGTCCAGGCAGGTAACAACTATAAGAGCATTTTGGAAACTTTGAAGTACCACACAAATGTCAATTATTGGGCATCTACACTTGCTGTGACTTGTTTTTAAGCAGCTCTAATCCTTATAAACTTAAGCACTAATTCGAATTTGCATGGCTGATACTCAACCAGTAAATGAGCACCCTTTGCATATGACCTCATCAACTAGTCTTGACAATATGTAAGATGTGCTTCCTATGCAAAATTAGAATTAGCTGCATGCTTCTGGAAATATCATATCCTAGCTCTGTCCCTGAAGTTTCTGATTTCATCAGTCCAGGTGGGGCTCTGGTATAGTATTCTTTAAGAGCGCCTCAGGAGATTCAAATGTGCTCCAGAATTGAGAAGCCCTGCTCCCCCATGTCTCAAGAGGACATTTTCCTATGCTAGAGAATGAAATTCACTAGCACCCGGCTCCAGAGGGCATACCTGAGCGTCCTAGCACCTCCAGGGAGATTCTCCCCTTGTAAATCCCATCAGGGTAGGTATGATAGATGCAGAAGTACTCCCCTGAGTCATTTGTGGTCAGCGACTGGAAGGTGAGGCCCAAGCTGGGGCCTGGGGCCACCCGCTCCCTGAAGCCTGGGTCAATGTACCATCCAAAGTCAGTATGATAACTGGCCAGCAGTTGGTCCTGAAGCTCCCAGTTGATCTGGGTCACTTTAGCAGTGGTGGAGGAGAGGTGACATTGTAAGATGACAGAGTCACCTTCTTCTGCAGAAATATTCCCCTTTGTTACTATTTTGCCTTTCATAGCTCCTAGGAGAGAGGAGAAAGCACAGGTGAGTCCCAGGTCAGCACTGCCCTTCAATCTGCTTGTAGATATTCCAAGGTGCTCAGAAATGGTTTCAAGAATTATGGTTTCTCTGGTCCATCCTGTTACTATATAGACCATCACTGTGTCCTGTTTCCTCCATTTTAATAGACGTTCCTCTCTTTCAAGCGCCCAGCCCCAGCCCATAGCCTCTTTCCAGTCTTGCACTTCTACATGCACCTCCATTCCAGTCCAGCCCGTCATCCTGATTCCAGAGATGGCTTCTGCCTCCCTGTGCTCCGCCACCCATACTTAGAAGTTTGTCAGAGCTGTAGTTCTTCCCTGCTTCCTTGAGGACTCCAGCCCATAGTGATGTCTCTTCCTTGCATACTCACTGCCTGTATTGTATAATTAGCACCCTATAATATGGCTGGCTTATTTTTAGACAACTTAGCCTGTCATGCTGTCAAGATGTTCTGTCATATGGCTTCATGGCTGGCTTATTGATTACTTTCTCTCCCCACTACAGAATATAAGCCCTCTGCCAATACATCTTCTGCTTCTTTGTGTTGTCCAACAGCCTACTTTGTACCTAGCCTTATCCTTTGAAATAAAACCTGATTGTCATTTAGAGTATCTGGAAAAACCTTAAGGTAAGCCAAGAAATCCAGGGTAAGGAGACTCGGCAAAAAACTCTGCTTCCCCAAGCAAAACTACCCTCTTCAGCGCTAACCACTCCCCAACACCCTTAGGTACTTCTCTTCCTTAGAAAGGTTTTTAGAAATAGCATTAAAACTAATCATATTTTTTTGTTTTTTTTTTTTAAAAAGCATTAAAACTAAATTTTACTCCTCCCTCTGAAATATTTCCCTATGGTTTTTAATACAGAAGAGATAAATTTAACAAAAATTCAGACTCTAACAGTAGACTCTCTGGAATCTGTGAAGACATTTTCATCCATGGAGAATAACCTGAAAGGTTTTCTGAAAAGTTCCTTAGAAACAGAAAAGAAGATGGAGCAGGAATGAACTTCTAGAAGTCAACTGAGAATTCTTCCTTCTTGGTTCCCTTTTTAGTCCCTTCTCTTTCCCCTGGCCCCTTTCTTATGCTGGAGTCCCCAACTCTGAGAATTCACAAAATCCTTCTCAGTGATGGCCTCTTCTCACATGAGGGTACACAGATCTGCATTTTCTTCCCTAGCTAGATGAGCCCTGAACTCCAAGCCTTCCCGATATGAGCACCCTGGCCTCTGCCCCAAGCTCAGCCTTGTTCTTCCCTCCTCCTTGCTGTGCTAGGTTTTCAGGCCTTACCTGAGGTGAGGAAGGCAGCCTGGCTCAGTGCCTGGGCCCAGGTTAGGAGCAGCCCGTGGTGCATGCTTCTGCCCAGGGGGCCTACAGGAAGCAGAAGTGGCCTCTTCTGTGACCGAAACTGGCCTACTACAGATGGCAAGGTGAAACTGAGCCTATAAGGGAAAAGGGTCTCGGAAAAACTGAGTTCAGCAAAAGCAATGTCAAAAATAGATAAAGCTCTCAACAAGTACACAAACTGTGGAGAGTGAGCCACAAAAAAGACTATGTAGGAAACACATTTTAAAATAAACAAAAAAAATGTGGTTAGTCTTTGGTGACTATTAGTCAATCTACCAGTTTTAAGTTCTGTCTTAATGTACTTTGAAAAAAAAAAAACCAGCCCTTATCTAAAGAGTTCATGGGTACGGGTGCAATGCCCAAGGTTCTGAAAAGCCTGTTACTGATAAAGATCTGCTCACTGGGGTCCCCTGACTTCACCCTGCTGAAGAATGTATAACTAACTTGTAAGAGCGGGCACTTAGGGTGTCCACCATACTAACAGTTGGGGGTGATGCAAGGGTAGCACAAAAGTTCTAAATAAACAGCAACTGTCCCTTGAATCAGAGCCTCTCCTCAAATCTTATTTTTATTCATCCAGATTGATCTTTTGTTGAATTCTGGCCCCATTCTTCTACATGGTACAATCAGAGGAGACTTAGAAGAGTGAGTTTTTTAGTATGTAGTGGTCATGTGATAATCCAAGTGTAGAGAAGGATGAGCCTCACAGACCTGACCCTGGAAAGGGATTGGTCAATGCTTGTCTGAGGTGTCCAACTTAGTACTAAGTTCTACTGTTGACCAATTCTTCCTTTCTCTCTCTCCCTCTTCTTTTCCCTCCCTCCTTTTATTCATTTAAAAATTCCTTAGTACCCACAAGGCACTAGATTTAACATCAGACTCTAAGATACAAGGGTGAACAATCACAGTTCCATCCCCAAAGAGTTTGCAGTGCCTCAAGAGAGAAGATAGAAGCGCCTCATTACCCTGCTTCCCAGGTAATTTGGGTATGCTCCGTGGTACATATCCTGAAAACCTGCATCTACCTAAAGCCTGGTTTCCTGCCCCCTCCATTCCAACCAGGCACCCTGAATATGTCCCATCATCCAGATTCCTGCCCTCCTCCTAGGTAGACTTCCTCCCCTTCCCGGATTCTGCCCATTGCTGACACTGTGGAATAACCCATGCGTCCCCAATCCCATCCTTCAGAGCCTTAGACAGTGTCTGGTTTACCAACTTCTCTTCCCACCCAAATTCAATCTGTCTTCCAAGGTTCACATCAAGAGACATCTCTACCACCTTCAATAACCATAAAGAAGCACTAGTACCCGACATGTGTCCAAGGGAAGGTGCTAGGATCAAACAGGAGGGGCGTGGCCAAAACTGGTGGCCAGCAGAGGTGTCAGGGGTGAGAGAGCCATGAGCAGATCTAGATTTGAGCTGTAAGAATTTGTGGCTTGTGTTTCTCTAGTGGAGTGGGTAGAAGCCAAAGAAGTGGGACTTGTCTTATAAAATGAAAAATCCAACAAAACAAAACAAAACCTTAGAGCTGGTTTAAATGTTGCCCAGGTTTGGCGACCTTGGGAAAATTACGCAGCCACCTCCAGCCTCGATTCCCTCATCTGCGTGCAGGAATAAATGGTGCCTCCTTCGGGGGTTGTAGTGAGAACAAACCAATGCTTGGCAAGACGCTTAGCACGGCAGCTGAAACGGAGGAAGAGTCCAATACATCAGTTATAGTATTAATGACAATATTAAGGAAATAAGGGAAAAGCAGAGGTGATTCTTCTTTATCTAGTAAACCTCTAGTCTCCAGACTGTAATGCCAGAGTTGTAAAGGGCCCCTTAATAAGAGCCTCCCCGCGGAGGAACCCTCTAATCCCTCTGTGAACCTCCTACAGGCAGTCCACAGGAAAACCTGGCTGTCCTGTTGCCTATTCAGTAATCACCTTATCCAGAGACCTCAGCAACACCACTCTGGGAAGCAGGCCTGGCCTGAGTGCTTCCAAGAACACCCTGTACTTTGGGGCCAGTCAGCATCTCCTGTGACAGAATGTGACCCTCTGAGACAAGCCAGGTGCTGACTCATTTCCATTTGAGAGTTCTGAAATGAGTCACCGTACTACTTCTCCTCCCACAGCTTTGGGGCTGTGGGCTGGACAGATCTGGTCAGCCTTGACGCAGCAGGGTGGGTGTAGGTACTAGGGAAGGAACTTCATATTTGCCTGAAAAGGGAGAAGTACCTAGATGTGAAACCCTCCAAAGACACCAATTCACTGCCTGGCCTTCTTGGACCTGCTGCGAGCCCCACATGATCCCCCAGTCTGCAGGGGCCATAACTCTGAGTGAAGAGATGTCATCCTTTCCATAAGGCCCATGACTTGTACACAGGAAATAACCTGGGGTTCTCTCAGGGAACAAACCAATCTCTTAGCAGTCTTTGGGCTTCAGCCTCTCAGCAGTCTTCTCTCTGGGCCAGAAATGGTGGTGGGAGCTCCAGGGCTCTCACAGCTGTCATCTCCCTCCCTCCTTTTCTCTAATCAAAGGTAACATCTCCTACCTGCAGGGGGCAGTGACTTTCTCATCCAGCTCTCACTCTCTCACCCTTGGACCAGGGCCTCCTAGTGGCCCTGTGTATTGTGGCAGAGGGCTGCAAGAAGGGAGGCCCCTGCTGACTACAGATTGCTGAGGGAGCATGCCTGACAGGAAGCTGGCAGAGAGAAGAAGGAAGAGTGACAGCCTCAGGAAGAGTGTGCCCTGCCCCTTCAGACCCATTGCAAAGCCACCTCACAGTGAAGATATCTGAGCAATGGGGTAGTTGCTCCAAAGACATTTACCTAAATTGCTGCCTCAGCAAATCAAGGAGTCAACCTACAAGTGTGTCTTGGATCTGATGCTTGTTATTGAATCTGTGAGCCACAGAGCCATGACTGCCACTGGCTCACAATGAACACAAATGGGAACTCAGGGATGTGGTTGCTGACTTTTTTTATCCAAGTCACCTCCCTTGGGTGAGGTGACTCTGAGGATCCTTTCTGCCTCAGAAGGCTGCCACGAAGTCCAGAGGACTCTGGGAGACTCTCTTTGCTTTCCCAGCTGCAAAAACAGGACAGAGACCCCTCCCCCCAGGATAGGTTGGAATGCAAAGTCAGAAGAAAGATCTCTGGGAAGAAGCAGTTGATCCTATCCTCAGACCTCCTTCTCTTCCACCCTAGATGGTATAACACTACTGTTAGAAAAACTATTTGATGATTCTGGCTCAGGCATAGTAAGATAGACTTTATTCATGATAGGTATAGGTGCCAAGGCAATGGGATTTGCTGTGGGGGACACAAATCGAACTCAACTCCAAATACCACACGGGCACAGAGGAATGTACAGCCAAAGAGGGAGGACACCTGTGCACGGAAAAGTATTAAGAAGAAACATCAGGGTTGAGGGGAACTCTGGCCAAACTAACACAACAGGATTCTTGCTGAAGAAAGCTAGGACAATCAGACATCACCTGAGAAAGGGCAAAGGTTGAGAAACTCTATCAGATAAGGGGTGTGATCAGATATAGAGTGTAATGGGTTCTTGCTTAATAACCTAGCAGGTTCTTCCCTAAGACTGGATTTTACCAGGATTGGCTCAGATGGATCTAGAAGGTTCAGGGCCTGACTAAAGTTCAGTCAAGCAAAGAATTTTTGTTACTGTCAGTCCTTTATACTCCCATCTGCCTTGGGGAAGTATTCTGTACCCCTTACTTTCTGCTTTTTACTTCCTATTCCCTACAACCCACAGACATCCAGAACAACTAGGATTAAGATAGAACTATGAGTGAACATATCATCCCAAGAACCCTCTCAATCATCAAGGGCTCTCCTTCCCCTCAACAAAAAGAGTGACAGGCCTAGATGATTTTACATGGGGACTAATCTTTAATGAGCAGATCATCTTAATGTTACTTAAAACATACAGACATAGAACATGGAGAAAAAAAACTGCCTAATTAGTTCTATGAAGTGAATTGAAGATTGATATAAATTTATTAAGACTTCATGCAATAAGAGAAAAACCAGATCCCAATCTTACTTCCAAATATTGAGGGAAAAAATCTGAATAAGATAGTTATAGATTCCAATAATGTAAACAAAATACAAAATGACCAGATAGGGTTTATTACAGAATGGTAAGAATGATTCAAAACTAAGAACTGTACTAATATTAAATATTAGATCTATATTTTTAAACATATCATTTTCTTTGATTCTGATAAGAAATAGCATAAAAATCAATAACCATGACTGATTAAAGATGAATACATTTTTCCTCCTCATAATCTCTCTCTCTCTGTCTCTCTTTCTCTCTCTCTCTCTCTCTTACACACACACACACACACACACACACACAAATTAGCCCCAAAGCTAACAACTCTTTTGATGACAAAACACTAGAGGTAATCCAATTGAAGCCAAGAATAAGATACTTACTGGAAGTACTTATTAAGTACTTCCCTTAATAAGTAAGGGAAGTATTAAAATGTATAAGAATTAGAAATGAGACAAAACCATCTCTAGTTATACATGATTATATATACATACATACATATATAATGCAAAAGACTCAATGGCAAAAATAACTAACAAAATAATTTTGTAAATTGGCAGGATATAAAATTTGTATAAATGAATAGTCTTCATTTATTCAGTCATTAATGAGCTAGAAGTTATTTTAGAAGAAAATTCCTATTTACTTACAATAGCATGGAAAAAAAGACAAAATAGGAATAAATTTAACAAGAAATGCACAAAAACCATGCAAAGAAAGCCTTACTCCAAATAATCTATCTGAATGCTACTCTACAAATACTAAAAGAAAACATGGGTGAATAACTTTAAAACCTGGAAGTGATGAAAGTCTTAACTGTGACACAAAATGTAGAATAAATAAATAGAATTTGTTGATGAATAATGTTCTTTATATTGAAAAAAGTTTTTGCTTTAAAATATCATAAAGATCAAAAGACAAATGAAAAACTGGGAAAGA